TTATTCTCTACATTTATTCTCTTCTAGTTTATTTTTGCAAAAATATATATTTAAATATATATTTGAAATATATGTATTTAAATATATATTTTTTCTTTTCTTTTATATTCTATCTCATCTATTTACATATGGTACGCTTTTATCGGGTGGGTATACACTCTCTTTAAATAAAATATAAAAACTCGGTCGCGAAACTAAAATAAATTTAAAATAAGATTTTTTAATTTTAAAACAACTGTCCCTCGCGTAAAATATTTGATAGATTTTAAAACTTTCCAAAGTAGGTAAGTAAATAGGTAGGGATGCGTATCTACAAGCGCATGTAGAAAATATATTAGGCCGGGTAGGTAGGAAATATGGTAGACCGAATAAGTAAGAAGAAATCAAAATGTCAAATTAGGATCAAGGCTGTTATGCAGCCTTAATCCTAATTAATAACGCTAGTAACGTTTAAGATATGTCTAAGATAGGTAGATATATTATAGGGGTAGGTAGGTAGGATTATATATAACTATTTATATTGTATTATATAATATTGTATTATATTGTATTATATTGTGTATGTTTTATGTAATAAATGTGTATTAGAATTGTATTCTATTGTAATGTATAAAAAAATTGTAAAATGAAACTTGGAAATAGAAAACTCACTGATAAAGAGTTTTAAATAAAAAAGCAAAAGCTATATTTCTTGGAATTGCAACTTTTCAGACATTATATTTGTGTACCGTTAAAACACCTTTGTATAATATATATGGTTTTTGGTGTATTTTGTATCTATATATATATATGTAATATTTTGAAGAAAATAAAATAAAATTTATAAAGCACACAGCAGCAAATGATGATGTAAAAGGAGATGATATTTGACTACACTCCACGAATTCTGATGTTGCTTGCTAAAATAAGATTCTTTTCTCGACTATCACATCTTTTCTGATATATCACATTTATGTTGTACGAAACGTTGCAATGGTTTTTCTTATCCTTTTCTGTTTTCCTTTCTCATCTTCTCATCACGAGATCGGTCATTTTAAATTTCAAAAAAAATCAAATTCACGCTCTCGAATATACTCACACGCCTGAAGAAGGTGACCATTTGGACGCGTGTACATAGCACAGAATAGAACCGCACGCTGTGGACATAGCGCACCGACATGTCGCTCGTCGGACTGGCTGCGTAGTTCCATTGTGTACCACCCGTGAACATGCGCTAGTTTACGGGGCAGAAAAGTGAGTACACATTCTCTTATTGGGTCTGGCCGCTCTCAGTCTTCTCTCTGACTGTTGCGTCTCAGTTTATGGTTTACTTTTCTGTCACTCAGGCAACGGAGGCGCTGTTTATTCCCATTATAGTATGAAAATACTGACTGGCAGTTCATGAGTATATAGTTAAAGGAAATCACAGCCAGGATGTGTTTTATGGAATCTTCAAGGGATCGGAGAAAGTCCGTTAGACAACGCGTCTGATTGGCTAGAAGAAAAAGGTACATAGCGCGATAGTTACGCAAAGCGAGTTTTTTTATAAAACCTTGTAAAAAAATACTTGTAAAAACAGTATGTAAAATCGAAGATCCATGTAGAACTGTACTTATTATTCTCGCTTTGCAACTGAAATATCTGACGATATAGATTTTGTTTCAATGTTAAACTTCGCTTTGCGTGCAAAAGTAGTCTTTTTCAATTATAAAAGCATCGTTTATTAAAGAAAAAACGATCTGTAATTGTAAATATGTAATTAGTATCATGTATAACATATAAGACCATAAAAAATTCATTATTTTATTTAAAATCAATTATTGTTTACAAGACAATGTTACATAGACACAACATCTATTAAATCTAATGGGCGCCAAAATAACTTTGTGTGTCTAATGAACATTTAATGGAATTTAAAATGTTGTGTAGGATTATTGATGGTCGATTAAAAATGATTTAAGTAATTTTACAGATAATCATTTGGTAGTTATCGCTTTTAATTTCACAACATTTTTTTTATTTGAAAAATTGTGTTGATAAATGTGTAAAAAAAAATATATATATACATATATATAAGACCTAACAGCGCTCTTGGTTGCGCTCTTTGCAACCGGCTATTATTATGTAACACATAATGACATGTAAGATGAATTAGAGCGTGTAAGACGCTTAATTAGTGATCCGCGAAAGGATGTTAACGTGATCTAATCTCTGTGACAATTGCGCGCGAATTTCTTTTACTTTTTGCGACTATAAGATAATAACAAGCAAGTAATATTAACACAAACCAATCACTGATATGCAGAACTCGTTGTCGTTTCAATCCGCGCGATTGATATGCGTCAGCGTGTGTGTTGGCTCATAGATCAACGCACGCGAAACTACTATGCGTAGAACATTAAGATAAAAATTCGCGTTAAAAGAGAGAGAGAGAGAGACAGAGAGAAAGATAAACAATAAAATTATGATGCAATAATGATTTGCTTTGTTCGGAAACACACAGTTTGTAACATGATGCATATCAAGTGTCGTCGACTTCTGGAAAAATTATTTTCGAAAATTTATTTATTTATTTTTTTTTTTTAAGCTGATCTCCATAGATGCAGATCCAGCAATAAAAGCGGAAGAAGATCGATGACTCTGGAAACTGTCGCAAGAGAAATTCTAGGAAAATGAGGATAAAAGCTTTAAAATTATAGCAAATACAGCAACTGATAAGTGAAATTAAGACTAATCAAATTTATAAGTAAATATATAAAAACGCTGCTCTCTCTCTCTCTCTCTCTTCTTCTTTAAGATAATAAAAATAGAAATAAATCTTAAAAAATGGCAAAAGAGAGATATGATCAATGAGGATTCGTTTACTGATCTAATTCAGTAAAACGCGATACGTAATCCCTTATCACAAGTGTCTTGACTGCTATATCTGAAGCATCACGTAAGGCATCTAATTACACAGAGTTCACTTTCAACAAACTTTCATTGCTTTTATATTGTTATTCAGTAACTTTTGTACGTTTTTGTTGTTACTTTTATTTTAACATTTATCCACTTCAAACCGACTATTCGAAAATGAAACGAAGATTGTTATAATCGCTTGAAAAAAAAAACCTTGACAAGAAAGTGCGTTTAATGACAGATTTTGCTGCTCTATAAGATTACCACCAATTGCGCAATATCGTGCAAATGATGATATACATTTCTATTAGCTGCTTATAAGATTGTTATCGCGTTAACTACTGCTATATGAATGCCAAATATCGCGATAGAGTTACATCGTGCACATAATATTCCGTGTAATACATAATACATTGTTGCACATATTAGATATGAAATATTATACTTTGGCAAAAATAATAACGGGTTATTAAACAATTAATTGTACAAGTGAGAAATACGTAGTACATTATATCGCAAAGTGGGGAAAACCATATTTGAATTACCACTCGTACGCATAGCGTCATGCGAATAACAATTAAGAAGTGAAAAGTTTTTCTTCGGTTTTCGATTATCTTAGAAAAGCGAATAAATACCTATATACATGTATATATAAGAAATAAAAAGGGAAAGGGGATAATTAAAATGAGGAAAGGAATGGAAATCAGAGAGAAGATAGAGACGAGAAAGAGAAAAAGAGAGAGAGAGAGAGAGAGAGAGAGAGAGAAAGAGAGAAACATTTGCGAATAGCGAGTGGAAATAAAAGTGAGAGCGAAAAAAAAGAGAGAAGAAACCCGGGACCTACAACCGGGCGAAGAGCGCGGAGGGAAGTAAACTCGCGCGAGCGCGAACGCTATGAGGAAGGAGCGGAGGAGGAGCGCGGTGCAATACGATGGACGCGCTCAACACGCGTTCGGGTTCCTCCGGGTCCACCGCTTGTGAGAAGAGGCGAGCCGCCGCGAGCGCTGAGTAGAACACGTAGAACCTCAAGGAGAGGGAAGTACGCAAGCGCGATGAGGCACAAGAGTTGGTTTGCGGCGAGCGCCACATTGAAAGCTTGCGACATGCCGCTGAGGTGCTCAGTTGCGCGCCAACTCTCACACAGGTTGCGTTGTCAAGTTGGATCTTTTCTTCTCTGTACGTTTTCGTTTCTTCTTAGCGATTATTATCTTCTTCTATATATATATGTGTATTACCAAGTGCGACAGGCAAGGCCTACCGTAGCGCGTATTGATGCGCGTGAGAGCATCAACAAACACCGTGTTGACGTGCAAGCAAACACGCGTGAGATTCGGGAACGAACAATTTTTAAAAGTTTAAAACGCGTCGTAACAAACGTCGTCGGACAGAGACGGGAGCGTGTGAATCGTCGTCGTCGTCCTCGAGATCTCAGAATATAGTTTCATTGCGAGGACCATTAAGTAAGTACTTGGAACAGTGTCAAAAGAGTCACGACACGCGCGACAATTTCGCGGAAACGACGTCTGTTTGTTGTCCGCGGACGGACGGACGGGTGACGGCGTGTGACGACGATAGATTCTCAAAGATATATACACCCTCTCCTCATCTCCTACCGGCTCTCGTCTTGCACGACGTAGTACGCGCTACGACGGCCGAAGGAGAGGGAGACAAGCGCGTAACGCGGGCGGACAAAGTAAAAAGCAACACACACGGTAGTAACGTACACACCGTAGTGCGAACATAACATACATCGACACGAACGGAAAAACGGACGTTACAGGTGGTTGCGGTGAATTCGCAAAAGATATTTTAACTGTGATGTGCGAGTGAGCGATGGAGTCACCGGTCATGTACGATTCGGCGGCCCATCAGGCCCAGGTCCAGGGTGATCTGAAGAAATCCCAGGTGCTCAATAATAACACCAGCAATCAGAACAACAACGCGGCAACGAACAACAATTCGGCGCTTCAAGTGAATCACAACCACGGCCAGCAGCAGCAGCAACCAAACAGCGCGGTGGTGAGCAAAGTTTCCGCCAGCAAAGCGAGTTTGCATCAACAGTACGCCGAACACTGCGCCGCGGCTGGTGAGCTAACTGATCTCAATACTCCGGAAATCTCGTTGGATCTCCAGCATCTGATCGACGATAATCACTTCAACGACGGTCTGCTGGATATGCTTAGCGCTAATAGCGGTGCTGTCAAACACGTGAGGACAGCTGGTTATCCCCGCACAACGCTCTCTTATATGCCACAACCTGTGCACAGCGGAGCGAGTTATCATCAGAGCAATAACAGCTGCAGCGACAGCAACAGTTCCAGCGCCTCGGATTCGCCCAGTATCAAAGAGGAGCCGCTAGATCCAGCGGATTACCGACGTCACTGCCCTCAATATGCATCAACTGGCTACAGTCAAGTTACGAACAGCCCGTTCGCCAACGGCGGTCAGACTTTTACCACCCTTACACCGACCACGGTGCCGGGTGGTCATCCTGGTGCGCCTGTTCATCAACAACCCCCGCGTGGTAATCCAATAAAAGGTCCGGTAATGGCTCATCAACATCACGCAACTGCCGCCAATGTCGCAAGGAAGCAAACCAAGGCCATCGACAAGGCGAGCGACGAATACAGACGGCGACGTGAGAGAAACAATATTGCCGTAAGGAAAAGCCGTGAGAAGGCAAAGGTACGATCGCGTGAGACCGAAGAGAAGGTAAAACACCTAATAAAAGATAACGATATGCTTAAAAAGCGAGTCGAGCTATTGACCGAAGAGCTCAATGTGATGAGGTCGCTCATCAACACCGTCGGCATGCCCGAAACGTTGCATCGCGAGATCTCCAGGCACTTCGATCAGTTCCAGCAGCACGCTCTCGGACCTATGTAGCAGCAGCAGCGTGACAACGACTTTGGTGACACTCGTCCCTGGATTAGCAGATCGCTTCGATTGTGAGGCGCGCGAAGACAGTTGACGGAAGCGTCTTCCGCTTCCTCCCGCGCGCTTCTCTCACGAATCCGCGCGCGCGCGCGCGAAGCGTGCATCTCCGAACAAACATCGTCTCTCACTCTCTCGCTTGTTCCATTCTGGACGCACACTTGCTCATTCTTTTTTCTTCTTTCTTTCTCTTCCCGCTTCGTCTTCTGCGTCGTCTTTTTACATCCCACTCGGGTTGGTAGCGCGCGACTCAAACGCACGTGTATTACACGCGTGCGCGCGTAATCGCGAAGACGTGAGCATGAGAGAGAGAGAAAAAAAAATCGGCAAATCGCGTAAGAGAAACGATCAAGAAGAGCGACTTGGGTCAGGGCCACAAAAAAAAAATATTTTACTGTCCGGTTGTCTAATAATAGATACGGTCCGTTATCACAACGCTTATCTACCTGGTGTCTATATTAATCGATTTTTTACTGCCAGCGCTTATTGACCCGGAAACTTATTTTATAATTGGCTTAGCGGATTATCCAAAATGTGTGCCGGTTGGTAAAATATTACGCGCGGTAAGATTTAACGAGCGAAGTGATCATCACAGTCGAGTATTTTAAGTTTTCTTGTGTGTTTTGAACATTTTTATTTCCATCAGATAATCAATCGATTCAATTTTTGTGTGTCCTCGGCCTTAAAATCGATACTTGCGACGAGAACCGGAGAACGCGCGATCGGCGCGTGATCGATTCACGCGTCAAAAGAAAAGTGCCTCCGTCTGCGGGGACGAGCTAAAGACACCTTTCGCTTGAAATTTGTCTTCTGCGGACACTAAAGACAACAAAAGTAAAAAATTAAGTAATACGATAATATAAAGAAATGTAAAAAAAAAAACACTTATTTTAATATAAGCAAGCTTCCCTGTTGCGATTTTCTCTCTAAGATCACAGACTTTAAGAAAAAAATAAATTAAAAAAGTCACCGTGCACATTTTTAAGTAGATAGACAGTTTTACTCTCTCTCTCTCTTTTATCAACAAACGTGATATTGTACATTTTTAAGTAGCTTTAATTAACAGTTTTTTTTTTTTTTAACACAAGATATAAACGTCGAGACGCGAGTAAATTTTTCTCCCCCTTGCGTTATTTCTCTTCGCGATGTCTTTTGCTTTTAATTGTTTTTCTTAACATCTGTGAAATTTGAATTAAGAACTGCGGCCCGCGAACTTTGGACGCACCAAAAAAATCGCAACGCGGAAGCGAGCCGACACCTCGAAGTCGCACATTCGACGATTCACCCAAGAAGATTGAATTCTCATCTTACAATTAGTTATATATTTTTCATGTATATATATATATGTATATATATATATATATATATATATATATATATATATATATGTACAGCGACGAGCAATGATTCGTGATTCGCGAAAAGATTGCGGGAAAATCGGAGGAAAAGAGAAGAACGTTTTAAAAAACAAAAAATACCATTTATTTATTGCTTGTCATTGTACATTGAACGCAACCAACATTTATACACGTGTGTGTATACACGTACACACTCCCAAAAAAAAAAAAACATTACATATACGTGGCGTTGTATTTAGGCGCGGTTCTTAGATAAACGTTAAATTAATATCTATAGAATATCGTTCTCTTCGATTATTATGTACCTAAACACAGAGTCATGCCGGAGACGCAGCGAAAAATGACAATAAATCAGTCTTTATTCTGTAACTTTTTTTTTTTTTTTTAACGCGCGTGTTTTACGAATCTTCGCACGGAGACAAAAAAGTTTTAACAAAATAGCTTGCGCGGCGATACGTAAAACGATAACAAAACAAAAAAAGTCGTTGCGGAATAAAAAAAATTACAGAACAAAGAGGTCTGGTATCACAACGTGGCTGGTATCAAATGTGCATCGCGGCAATAGAAGAAGTTCCATCTTCTTTCGCGATACGCGTACGCGCTTCCCCGCGTTCGCTGTGTATTCAACGACGAAGCGAACGACGACGACGAAGCCGGAGCTCACGTCCTTGTATTATATATATAGTTCTTATTAATTTTATTATTATAGTATATAAAATTGTATATACAAAAATAATATATTTTTTTTTGTTAGAAAGAAAGAAAGAGAGCGAAGCAGGATGCGCGCACACGTGTGTTTTGTATGCGAGAGGAGAACAGGCGGAATTCATATGATATACATTGTGCAATTTAGCGTAATTGTATGTACCTATGCGCGCACGTATGAATGTAATGTGTGTGTGTGTGTTCGTCGGTATAAAACGAATCTATATGTGTGATTTATGTGAAAATGTATAAAGAAGAGCATCAAAAACGATTTTTGTTATGAAGTTTACATATTTTATTAGCGAAAGACAGAAGCCTAGATGGCCTTTGATGATCAATCGAGAAAGGACCGAAAAGACCGAAGAATCATACTTGAAAAACGTAAAACGTGCGGTTGCGCGAAGCGAGGAATTTCATCTTTGAGATATGACTGCTCACATACAAATCAATCTGACGATGCCAGGAACAACAGCCAACAACAGCAACGGGCCGCCGGTGTGAGCTCGTCGTCACGGTCGCATGTATAAAATCACAACGTGTGCGCAACGTATTCGCACGACGAGCGATTTAATTGCGCGAAGGCGCGCGACCGCGCGTGTGCGCGCGTCAGTGCGCGCACCGAGTGTGAATGTGACGTTACGCACGCGTGCCTTGGTTGTATGACTGACGTGTGTGTATGTTGTTTAGAGTACCGAGATTACCTGTCACGGTTGTCTACTTGTCTATGCACAAATATATTTTGATATGAAACGTACGAGACACGACCTGTCTTATATTTCTTTTCTAGTATCATATCTCATCCGCATCTCTCTTCCCTGCGTTTTCCTTTCACTCTCGTGAATTCGTTATCAACGTAAGCATTTAGCTAGCTTTGTAGTATGTTATTTTTTAGAAACATATATCTTTTCCTATAAAAATACATATATGTATAGAATAATTTTATTCTCGAAAGAAAAGACGTTACGAGAGATAAAGACGCTCTTAATTTTTTAAATATACACAATTAATTTTCTAAATATGTTCTATATCTATATGTTCTATAACTTTTCCGGATATTTGAAAACAATTAATTTGAGAATATAATGTGTAATCACGAGATAAGATATCGAATATTTTCATTATCAGTAAATTTCCGACGTATTCTATCTAAACAAAAATTAATAATCTATCGGAAGAGAGAAATTTTCTTTAAATAAGGACGCGAAAAGCTATTTTGTAGTGTACGTAAAGAAAAAAGATTTTATTAATTCATCAAAAAAAAAAATTCATCAAAATACGTAGTTATCTAAAGGTGAAAAAAATGATTAGAACGAAGCAAGTGAGTCACGAGATAAGTTCGTTATTAGTCAGATTAAATAGATTAGCGCCATTGTGACGAGCGTGACGTGCGTTGTAGCGAGTCCCGTGCGCACGTATTACATACATACAACAATGTTTTATGCGTGTGTGTGCGCGCAAACTCACGTGCCTGCATCTTAAATCGCACGCACACAAACACACACACGATGCGCACGAGGAAGCGCATCGTCTTGCGCGACGTAATTGGCGAGACGAGTTCTTCGTGTCGTGATACAAAAAGCAACACATAGTGTTGCTCGTCGATGAGAATTTTACAACAAGACTGAAGTTTTTCGAAAAAGTCAAGTAAAATAATAAACTACAATGTTTGTATTAACATTGTTTTGTATAAATTATATATTTATTATGATAAAAAAATGACAATACATATTAAACAGCATATACTAGAATATAAATTTGATACAATTATAATATAATATTAAATTATATTATAAATATAATTTAATTAAAAAAATATATGTATATATATATGTATATATATAAAAAATATAATCAAAGTACTTCTCACATATACATATCTTAGCTAACTCGAGTTCAATGTCTCCGGTTTCCTGCGAAGAATATTTTTGAGGAATAGAGATTTTGCATTTTATCGTTCTTCGCTCGTGCGCAACGAACCTGTGTGCAAGTTGATCTGTTGATTCTCATGGACGATTTATCGTCTTTCGACGTGACACAATGCAACGTTGTTTCGTACGTATATACACGAATCAATATGTTATCCTGCCGAAGAGCAAGCAACGTGTACGAGACGTGAAAGTAAATTAAGGTAAAGTAGAATACTTCTCAAGAATTGGAATCGACAATGATACAGGGGAAAGTGCTCGCAAAAAGCATACGTTATCAGAACGATGTAATGTGGAAGAATTATACAGGTAGACAAAAGATAAGTCTTTCTTTTTTGACGTCCGACACATTTTCGCGCGCGATAATAGCGTTCGCTTTGTTGGCGCGTTATTGAATCTCTGACATAATGCGCCAAGTTTTGACGCCAACATGTCTACGTGCACGTGTCGTCGACGATTCTAGTTTTAGATACAAGCTTGTGCCAATGTTCGTACGCGATAGGTCCATTTTTCGAGCGTTCCTCCGAGCTCCCAACTTCTGGTATCGTCACACGACTTTCGGTCGTGCGAGAATCTCGACCTTGCGCTAGCCGATGAATCACAACGTTTTGTTTCTGACAAAATTTATTAACTAGGAAGCGTGAAAATCGTCGAAACAATTTTCCAAGAAGATTTTTCCTCGCGTATTCTTCTGCGATTTAAAAAATTTATTGCATTTGTTTATGAATATTTTTCTAGAGTAATTTAACACACAATATAAGAGTCAAAAGTAGGTTGTGTTTGTGTACGTGAGGCTGTGGTCACAATATCTACCTAATATATTTATTATCAGCGTCTTATCAAAATGATTCGATTAATTTCTTGACGCACTTTTAATGTTCTCGATCATATTTTTCAAGTCTTTAATAACGTCATCGTTTTCAGAATTTCTTCAAACAACGTTAAATTATTTTTACGCATAAATTGCATTTTAGTTTATTGTTCGCACACTTTCTTAGTGTATTTTACAAGATTGTGCTTGTTATTTAAAAAAAAGAGCACATATATATATGTTAAACATTTATTATGCAACAAAAACGCGCGGTTGTTACAACATGATCGAAAGTCGGAAATATACACATACATACATATATACATAACTTTTTCTTTATATAAATATTATATATACTCATCGAGCAGATCCAATCGGTATCTCAAAATACATCCAACACGTAGCAAAATTACGTATTGCTTTAAACAGAAATTTCTTGAGTGCCGAATATATTTGCCAGAGTACTTCTTATTATCAGCTGGCTCTTTGTTCTAACTCTTGTGGCGCGGCGCCAGAATTCGAATAAAAGTGACAATCGCTAAATTCGTGCCAATATTCATCATTTGTTTCATCTCAGAAATAATCAATTAAATCAGTTCCTTGTTTCTGTATTATATGTATATATTTTGAAGAAAATAGTAATCTCAATATTCTGTAAACTAATAAGCAATCGCAGAAAAATCAAAATTTCTAGAATATCTTTTTATAACTCTTGAAACGTTCAAACAAAGATAACTTTCAAATTGATATAAATTCAAAAAAAAAAGACTTTCACTTGTTAACATATTTCACAGACGAATCAATGAATCATTCCAAAAGTCACGTGCATTTTCCACGACTGTTTCAATTATCGTTTGTTTGTTTGTATCGACAAATGAGATTTCATAAAAAAAAAGCGATGCAGTATGAGCATTGCTTGTCAGCAATTCGATACTCTGTTTTTCCGACCATGTTTATAGTGTTACCTGCGTTCCCGTTCTCTTATTCCCCTCGATCACCTGGTCTCTCTATTCTCTGGCTGCTATTGTATATGGGTTAGGGCCAACTCTGCCAAGACCGCCCCGCACCCACGCGTGTCCGATTCTCTTTTCGCACACAACAAACGAGCCCGTACGGAACAAGCGAAATCGCTCAGCTCGCGCGCGAACGTGCATTTCGCGAACCGAACTGCGACGCGAAAATCAAAATTCACACGTGTACGCATCTTCCGAAACTTTGAAGTTAAGCTGATTTGGAAAAGATGCTTGACATTTTGAACCGATGTTAATTTGCTTCCCGTTTAACACATTTCACGTCGGATGATCGTTGGTATGCAGCTTCTAATTCGTCGCTATGAAGGTATTTCGATAATGTTACGTGATAACGTGTGACTCATTAACTATTTAATGTCTTCGAAATCAATCATTCAATTAACGATTATTGACATTATCAGTTATTTTTTTTATTGTTATTTTATTGTGTATTTATAAAGCGAGCAATATTAGAAAAAGAGAGAGTTCATATTTTGCTTGATATTGATTCTAGAAATATCAGGTCTACCGGAAAGTTCTGTCCGTTTTTGGAATAAAACAACATACAAATTTTTCTTACCGTCAATAAACTTTATTAAGTAACATAATTGCCATTATTATTAATGATTTCTTGCCAGCGTGAGGGCAATTTGTATATCCCATTGTTGAAAAATTAAGAAAAATTTGTATTTTGTTTTATTTCAAAAAAAACGGACAGAACTTTCCGGTAGACCTAATATAAAATTGAAAAAAAATAAAA